ATGTATACTTTATGTACTAGCCTAAAAAAATGTTTGAAGTTCATTTTCATGTTAGTAAACACTATACAGTATACAGTACGAATGCTTTATCTACAATGGTCGGCTATTATATCAATACAGTGAAGAGACCTTTTTATTAACATTGCCTTAATCCCTACCAAGCTGTTTTCAAATAACAAGTTTACAAGTAAACAATGAGAAGCTTTTAATTGACAAATTCTCTATGTCTAAAGGTTTAAGTGTTTCTACTTAATAGCTCTTAAGTCTACAGTCTACAGTCAACAGTCAACAGAGTTATGATTGAAAAGATTTCTATTTTTCCTTTACTTTAGTTTAAAGTGTTAACAGTCTGTTCAAAATTTTGAACATAACATTTGTAATTTATTAATTATTGCGAAGAAATATGTTTTAAAAGTTAAAAGTTTCTAAAAGTTTGCCAACTGCCTAAAGCAATGAAAACTATTACGGACGTGTCTTGGAATTAGTTGAAACTTGAAACATTTTATTTTATTATGTTTGGAAAATATCCATTGATCTGATGCATAGTCTTGTAGAGTTCTAGTTCTAAATTAAACCGAGATAGAAAGATCGTTAATCTGAGCTAGAAAACTCTATTTGTCCGTGGACAGCCGTTAGGTTTACTCTCTCCAGGTCCCTATTGAGTCCCTGCTGAGATATTTTTTACTTCTTTTTCAGGTGTCAAGACTATAATTGGTTCTGTTTAGTGGATTCATTTACCCTCATACTTTTCTACATTCCACATTATTATTTAGAATTGGAAACACCTCCCTCCACGCATATATGGCCATTTGTCAGTTGTCTGCTTTACCGAAGGAACTGATCAAACTCAAACTCTAATTTCTAATTCCTACAGTGAGACCAAAAAAACTGTGGAATAGGAAGACGACTGTTGGACTTTGAATAGTCTAAAGAACGTGAAATCAAGCAATTGTGCAGTTTGCACAATTGCTTCATTTTCAAGCAACTGGTAAAACAGAATCACAAACAGGGTGTCCGAATAAACATGGGAATTCAGTGACGAATTCGATATCGTCTTTTCAAATAATTCTTTGATTTAGTATAGTGATACCTACTGAGAAAGCTGTAATCTGTAGGAGTTTCGTCTGCTATGTTCACATTTTGTTTGTTTATGTTTTGAATGCATACGGTTGTACTTAGTAAAACAAGAAAATACAGTATACAAACAGAGTAAACTTGTCCGTCTTCACGGTTCATCTTCCGAATGCATTATTGACCCATCTTTACAGCCATTTACTGTTTTCATGAATTAAACTCTAGCAGACATAATAATATTATGGCTTTTGAAATTAGGTATTACAATGCTGATTCATAACAAAGACCATATCGAATTCGTCACTGAGTTCCCATGTTTTTTGGGACACCCTGTACGTGATTGCTTAAACTTCGTCTTTCTATTCCACAGTGTGTAACCTACCCTTATCCTTCGCCATAACGGTCTAGGATAATGGTTGGTGAGTGGATGTTCTAGGATGAGAGTAGGTACAAGGAATGTGTAATGTGAGTTAATAGTGTAGGATCGAGTACGGGAGTGGATGTGTAATTTGAGTGGATGGCGTAGGATAAGAGTAGGTGAGTGTATGGTATAGGATAAGAGTAGAGGAGTTTAACATGACAAGACATCTAAAAGAGTATTTTGAGTAAAATATTGTCAATTTTTATGATAGAAGAGTTTTAAGATCTGAATATGTTTATTTATGGGTTAGACCTTTCATCAACCCATTAGTGACGAGACCATTAACTTTTAGTGAAGTTGTTTTAGAAAGATCTTGTCAAAACAAAACTTAACTGTACTCATGAAAAAACGATATTCAATTAAATTTTTGATTTTTTTTTTGTTCAGGGTGACCTGTAAAACATGAAAATCTAAAAAACTTTTGTAATTCATAATTATTTAATTATCTTCAATACTTTACTTTTCATGTTATAGGTATTTAGATCTTTAAAAGAAGATTCCAAAAATATCTTTAAATTTTTTCTAGCAAAAAAATTGACAATTTTATAGATTCAAGACTAAATTACAGGGTGTTCTTTTGGTTCTTTTCCGAATTCAAAATCTTGTTTTTTTGGGGGGGTTTTTTAAAATTGAAAATTTAATAGAAACCCCAATTTTGAAGTTACGTCAAATATAAAATATGTTTTGAAAACAGGAAATCCTAATGAAAGACAGGAAAACATTTAGTTTTGGAAAAAAGGCACTTCAAAAAAAACTTCACCCGGTCAAAATTGACCTTCTCGTCACTAATGGGTTAAATATTGTGTATGGGGGGACGGAGGGGTGGGGGGGTGAACGCGTCAGATTGCATTTGATGCAAAATGGGATGAGAAGGGTTGCATTTGAAGCATGTATATTATGTATGGGGGGTAAGGTTAGAGGGCAAAGGTTAAATATGCATTATTACGCCAAGGATAAACCAATAATTGTATTTTGCAATATTTCACTGCAAAAAATGTTTCAGCCTTGTAACAAGCTGCCTTGAGTTAATATTCAGCATAATGTTGTTTCCACGCTTTTAAATATTTACAAGGAATCCACTTTACGTATGATTGCTCATTGCTCTCAATTGGAATGTTAAGGATGTACAAGAAAGAAATTAAGTTGTGATCATCCTTTTTTCTCTGATTTTGTAATAATAATATCTTTGCAACCTGGGGATTGTTATGTTAAACTATGATTTCTGCTAGATCAAATAGTCGAAGTTTGAAATATCAAAGGTTTACACCATCAGGTTGCAAAGATATAGAGAATTAGAGTTTGTGGTTCAAACTCAGTTTCTTTCTTTGAAAACTGGCATAAACTTTTTAAGCGGTTTAACGTTTCTTGACGTAAAAACTGGAATAATTGTATATAACACGGATTTGAAGTGTACAATTAACATGCATCGAACAAACCTTTATAATTCTAATATTAATGCATATTTTCTATATTTATAGCTTAGGTTGTGATCTAATATTTTGATGGATATTAACCCTGGATTAAGTATGTAGAGTAGATTAAAATGATGAAGAAAGATATAAAAACTGATGAACTTTTCCTTTTTTAGATTAAGATTCACACTTTTCCCCGTTGGAGTATATTAAGTTAATATTTTCAATCATGTTACAAAAATAAAACATATATGCAATGATACGACACTCCATACACCAGTCCCCTTCCCCGTCCTATAGTTCTGTTGACGGATATACAGCAAGATTCTCAAGATGAACCCCCGTCTCAAAAAAATAGATAAATAAGAATTCTCTTTATTTCCTGAAAAAAATTACATATATGATAACGTGTACAAATGTTATAATTAAAGTTTATAATGAAAAAATTCTTACGATCTAATAACTGATGAAACGGGTTATCAATAGTTGAACAGTACTAAAAGACGTTTTAAACTTCTGAAATAAAATGAAAATTTAATTATTAACGAAAGTCACTAATTCTTTATATGAAAATATTCTTTGTTTAGCTTTTGAAAATGGATTCACAATGCTCTAGGTTGTTTACGACTCCGTCAAGGGAGAACAAAGAAAAAGGGGGTTAAAATTGTTTGGTTTGGTTGTCTCCGAGAGGGGACCTAAGTTAAAGACGACTTTACACGGAGCCTATAGTTAATGGTTGACAAGTTCACATATCTCTGAGATCTGGACAACTCTGGAATTTAGTTATATAATTTTTAGAGAGCATCGACCTTTGATTCTACCAACTCAGATATACTTTTTGTGAATTGTTTTATGTTCAATGAAAAAACATTTATTTCAAAGTTATTTTTGGCTCTTTTATAACTCATTGATTCATTGATTTTTCCATTAACCATTTAATTTCTTGTCCCTTTACTATTATTTATTATTATTACACAAACCGAATTCTCGAGTTTTTTTATGCAAATCTCAGTTTATTTTTAAGCTAAAATAACAAAAACTTTTCCCTCTCAAATTTTGTTGATCATTTTTAAATTTTCATTTAACTATTAATTTGGATTCGACTGATCTGCTCGAGACTGTATAATAGTTCCTGTCCTGGAGGATAGTTCTTAGATTGGAAAATATCCAATATCTGATCTAGTTTCAACATTTTATTCAACCTTCAAGGACGAAGGAGAACATTTTACAATAAAAAAACTCGGTTTTTTAGAATTTATTTAGTTTTCTGGAAATGTAAACAAAATATTGTGTTGACAAATAAATGTGCACTTGCTAAGACGTGGTTTGAAATGTTATACAAAGGAACTTATTTTTGCCACAAACTCTAATTTTCTAATCACTATATCTTTGCAACCCGGTGGTGTAAACCATTAATATTTCAAAATTAGATTATTGTATCTAACAGAAGTCGTAGTTTAAAATATCCAAGGTCTACAACATTGCATTGCAATGATATAGGGATTAGAAAATCAAAGTTTGTAGAAAGGACTCAATTTCTTTTAAATTACATTTGTGCAGATCAAAGATATAAACATTGTATTACTATTAGGACCCGACTAATTACCTTATTTTGTTGGACCAAATCTGGTAATGGGAAAAGAATGAGTTTAGCTCAAACAAAAGGTTCATTCGTAGGTTTTCTGCTTTGTTTGTTCAAAGGATTCTAAAATGTAAGAATACTTTTAGTTTTTTTGGTGAAAAAAAAAATCTGAAAAGTTTTTATACATCTCTTTTTGAATGCAAAAGAAAGGCAGTCGACGTTTTAAAAACTAGTGGGATTTAATGATGATTATTTTAAAATTAACATTCTTTGCTTATCAAGAAAAGAACTGAGTATTTGCCACAAACTCAAGTTTGGTTTGTTTTGAAAACTCAGTTCCTTACCATGTTTATATCTCAAGACGAAATGTAATTTTCTTCTAATTGGGAAATTATCATGTTTAGGGAAACACACTGTATCTCCATACCTATTCACCAGTAAAAAAGCGATAAAAGGTGCAATTATAATTCAGTTTTTTGCTGATATTTGTGAAGATACCCAATTCAGAATTAAGATGGTTGACAATGTATCCTTGTCAGATCTGGGGAAAGATGAATTGCTTGAGATTATCAGGAAGCAGGCTTCACAGATACAGGCCTTACAGGTCTACAGTTTATACCACATACATAATTTCCTAGTGAACGATTTTTGAANACAGCTGTTTTAACTACTTCTTATGAAAATGTATTATAGTTGTATTTGATCCCACTGCAGAACTATCCACAGCTGGTTTAACTACTTCTTATGTAAATGTATTATAGTTGTATTTGATCCTACTAACATAACCTAACCCTAAATAATAATAAATAAATATTAATTTACTAATTTCGTCATGTACAAAAATAATAGGAGGGACGCGGGGGGCCGGGGGGTCCAAAAATCGTTCACTAGGACAGACCCCAGGCCTTAGAGGTCTACAGTTTATACCAGATACAGGCCTTACAGGTCTACAGTTTATACCAGATACAGACCATGTTTTCTACCAGATACAGGCCTTACAGGCTATACTTTATACAAGATACAGGCCATACTTTGTACCAGATATAGGCCTTACAGGTCATACTTTATACCAGATATATGCCTTAAAGGTCATACTTTATACCAGATGCAGGCCTTGCATGTCGTACTTTTTACCAGATACAGGCCTTACAGGTCATACTTTATACCAGATTTCAGGTCATACTTTATACCAGATACAGGCCTTACAGTTCGTACTTAATACCAGATACAGGACTTACAGGTCATACTTTATACCAGATACGGGCCTTACAGGTCATACTTTATACCAGATACAGGCCTTACAGGTCATACTTTTTACCAAATACATGCCTTACAGGTCATGCTATACCAGATACGGGCCTTACAGGTCATACTTTATACCAGATACAGGCCTTACAGGTCAAACTTTATGCCAGATACAAGCCTTAAAGGTCATACTTTATACCAGACTAGCTTGAAACCCCAGTTTTCCCTATAAAAGTTTACCCACCGAACTTCAAATTTTGAAACCAAGCTTAGACAAAGTGGTCTAAAGGATTCTTACTAAAATTCTGTGAGAATCTTGCCAATTACTTTCTTTAAATGCTAAAATTTTAAGTGCTATTTAGTTCTAAAATGTACATACCTAGGGCTACAATAGTATAAGCGTCAAAGGGCAAGATCGTTAAAATTGATGCAACTCTGCGTAGTAGCCAAAGATAATATATATATAGATATGCAGGCAGGTATAAATTTAGAGGTCTTGAGAAAATGTGCAAACAGCACCATCTCTGTCGTACGCATGGCATTTTATCCTCTGGATTGTTGCTAATTTATCACTTTGTTTATGCGTGATAACACTAAATGCGTACTATAGTATCAACAATGTATACTGCATATTGTAATTAATGAAACAAATTAATCAATGCAAATAAAACTGAGGTAGGAATTGACTAGACAATGTTTAAATGTGCAAGTTGTACTGAATAGCATACGTAAATTAACGCAATTTAAATAAAAATTATGACTAAAAAGTACATCGAATCTAGGACAAAGTCCTAATAGCGGACAGGATCCGGTCGAACAATACATCCCATTCAACACTACTATGGTCGGTTGCTCCTGGCTCTTCATGGCTCAGAACTGGCTCATCACCCCCTTAACCCCAAAAACTCAAAAAAACTCCATTTCTTTCCTAAAATGATCATCCTAGGTTTGGTGCGATCAAAACTTCAATTTGATTGGTATATAAAAAAGAAATGAGCCAGCCCCAGTCCATTATCCCCTTTGATAGCATTAGTTTAATTTTTTTAAATAATTCAAATTTGCCATGAAATTAACCAAATAAGTAAACCGTCCCTTTAAACTTATGTTTTTTAAACTTTCCAAATTCATAGAAAATTCTGCAAACAAATGCAGGAAGGAACTATTAATCTTTTCTTTGTTATTATGCAATAAAGTTAGCCCAATTCTGGCTGGGGGGGGGGGGGTTTAGGTTACCCCCCTCCCCCTGACATTTTTGGAGACTGTAAAAGTATTGGTCGTAAACCTTCCCTGTGGTCACGTGATGTCCTACAAAAAATTTGGGCCGATCGGTTCAGCCGTATTGACGTTTATTGGATACAAACAAACAAACAGACAGACAGACAGACAAGCCAAATTTATATATAGATGAAATGTAACTATATCATATACATAGTATTACTACAACACATAGTAATACTAATTTTGTTTACAAATTACAAATTAAAGACAACCTCATTAAAACAGCTTATGACTTGAGGATTGTCAACCTGTATGAAAAAGTCGTCCCAAAAAAATGTTGCAATTTATTTGCCTTGTTTACTAGAATTCATGTATAAAAAACAGTAATTTTAATAATTCTTTAAACCATCAACCCCAACATCTTAATTGCATATTGTGGTACCAATAAAAAAATCTAATTTTATTTAAATATCTCATAAAAACCATTTGATTAAATAGATATCACTTATTTAACAAATATAAAATAATTTCCAAAGGTTTGTCAATATTTCTGTTTGTTTACTATATCTTTACTAAGTACAACTGATCATAACATAAACAAAACGCGTACTGTATGTTTGTGTTACCTTGAAATTAAATTTTATTGGTCAAACAGGTCCAGATAGCAACACTTGAACTATACAGGATGCAATACGCGTACTGTATGTTTATATAACACAAATGCGTATTTCCTACAGATAGCAGCAAGGGGAGAAAGGAATATAGAAAGTAATCAATTTGCTATAGATGTCTCTCCTTGCACATTTTCTCAGAGGTTCAAAAATTAGTTGTCTGCTACAAGCAATTTAGGAAGGAGGTTTCTACCTGCCTGCATATCTATATATATATTATCTTTGGTAGTAGTCTGGATCTATGTAAAGAACATTCTACCGGTTCTCTTGAGTTTCTTGATTGAACTTTTTGGAATATTAAGTCAAAAGGGTTTACATAAGTTTTGAATTTGATCGGATAGACAAATAGATATACTAGCTATATATATATATAGATACCAGAATAGTTTTATTATTTTACATCAAAATTATCTTTTTCTTTAAAAAAAGAATATTTTTGTTACTTTAAATTAAAAAAGCCTTAATTAAGGTTTAAAGTTTTTTTCTAAAAGCGACTCTTTATGTCTATTGGGGGAATGATAGAATGGAAAAGTTTAAAAAAGGCGTGCAAAATAATTTATAGCTCCTTATTTTGGATTGATTTAAAGACAAAAAAATGCAACTTGACTAAAAAAGACGGAATAGTAAAATGGAATACTTCTAAGGATTGGAAATAACAGCATGCAATTCAAGAAAATTCTGGAAAAACAGACAATTATATCTTTCCGATTCGTTTTATCACGTTATCAATATTTCATACTGACGTTGCAGAAAAATTCAATGAAACGATGGTTCACTTTATATTGCGATTTATTGGGCGTGACAATCGAACTGTAACACAAACTAGAAATAAGTGAATTCCTACTATTTTGAAGAATAAAACCTTTTCATCTATTATGCGTATTTGTAAATAAAAAGCAATAATAATCATGTTTAATGGTTTAGTTATTTTATCCCACTGAAGAACTATCTACAGCTGGTTTAACTACTTCTTATGTAAATGTATTATAGTTGTATTTGATCCTACTGAAGAACTATATACAGCTGGTTTAACTACTTCTTATGAAAATGTATTATAGTTGTATTTGATCCCACTGAAGAACTATCCACAGCTGGTTTAACTACTTCTTATGAAAATGTATTATAGTTGTATTTGATCCCACTGCAGAACTATCCACAGCTGGTTTAACTACTTCTTATGAAAATGTATTAATTATATTTGTCTCAAAAGCAGTTTCATTTCCCATTAAAAACCTTCAAACGCACAATATAAGATTTACTAGAATCCCGGTGCTATTTGTAAATCTAAAAGATTTTCAAGTTAATAAAGAGGATAAAATGATAACATATTAGAAACGATTTCCACCCCAGAATGTAGAGTTAATTGATTATGCTACGAAACGCAATCAATCGTTTGCCGAAGGAATTAAGTCTTAGCCACAAACTCTATGATTTTTTATTTCCTTTATCTTTGTGACCTGATGGTGTAAAATTTTGATATTACAAACTTAGACTATTTAATTTTACAAAATTTATAGTTTGAAATATTTATGGTCTACAAGATTGGGTTGCAAAGATAAAGCAAACACCAGAGTTGGTGAACAGCATGGTTGATGAATATATATAACTCTGGATTTGATGCAAGGTCGCCAAAAACCAGGTTTTTCAAATTATCTATCATTTTCTTATTAATAGCAACTATGGATTTGCCAATTGTGTGCAATTCTCAGCAGTGTCAAATATTATCGAATTTGTTGAATTCAGGAGATGCATTTAACCTCTTAAACTTAAACAGTTTGTTCAATCCTGTCATTGATATTATCCAGTATAACTTTATCCTACCAGGAATATTATCTAGTAATACCTTTATCCTACCAGGGATATTATCCAGCAATAACTTTATCCTGCCAGGGATATTATCCAGTAATATCTATATCCTGCTAGAGATATTATCCAGCAATATCTATATCATGCCAGGGATATTATCCAGAAATAACTTTATCCTGCCAGGGATATTATCCAGTAATATCTATATCCTGCTGGAGATATTATCCAGAAATAACTTTATCCTACCAGGGATATTATCCAGTAATATCTATATCCTGCCAGGGATATTATCCAGCAATATCTATATCCTGCCAGGGATATTATCCAGCGATAACTTTATCCTACCAGGGATATTATCCGGCAATAACTTTATCCTGCCAAGGATATTATCCAGCGATAACTTTATCCTACCAGGGATATTATCCAGCGATAACTTTATCCTACCAGGGATATTATCCGGCAATCACTTTATCCTGCCAAGGATATTAACCAGCATAACTTTATCCTGCCAGAGATATTATCCAATAATAACTTTATCCTGCCAGAGATATTATCCAGTAATAACTTTATCCTACCAGAGGATATTATCCAGCGATAACTTTATCCTACCAGGGATATTATCCAGCGATAACTTTATCCTACCAGAGATATTATCCAATAATAACTTTATCCTGCCAGGGATATTATCCAGCAATAACTTTATCCTACCAGGGATATTATCCAATAATAACTTTATCATGCCAGAGATATTATCCAGTAATAACTTTATCCTGCCAGAGATATTATCCAATAATAACTTTATCCTGCCAGGAAAATTATTGAGTAATAATTCAGAGATATTATCCAGCAATAACTTTATCTGCCAGAGATATTATCCAGTAATAACTTTATCCTGCCAGAGATATTATCCAATAATAACTTTATCCTGCCAGAGATATTATCCGGTAATAACTTTATCCTGCCAGGGATATTGTTGAAATACTGACAAAACTTTGAAATTACGAAACATTTGTTTGAAATTTTAAACAGAATGTAGTGTATAGGGATATCTCACATTTTTTATTACATCTCTAAAATTCTGTTTTACTTTTTGATTTCAACGCTAGAATGATTCTAGACGTCCAGCGCGTCTGTTTCCTCTGACCCTGACGAGGTAGATAAACCTGCTCAAGGTTCAAGAACCTCCACCAGAAAGGATCCAATAACCAAGTCGGTAAGGGAACTCCGGAGCAAGAAGACAGGAACGTGTTCACCGGCCAAATCAAGAGAGTCTCCATCCATGCTCCGAACTAAGAGAGTTGTTTCTTCTCCAGCAGGTTCAATAGAATCAAGAAAACCTATTCTCCGTCCTGGTTCTAGCACCGGAGAATCTCCAACCTCTCGGAGGCAACAAATCTCTCCAAATGTTCCCAGGAGAAATAGGCTTCCCAGGTACAAATAGTTTTATTTTTAATATGCTAAACTAAAATATGTTAAAATACTGAAATGCTGAAAGGAGAGAGTATTTGTCACAAACTATGATTTTCTAATCCCTACATATTTGCAACCCAACGTCGTAAACCTTAGATATTTCAATCTATAAATGTTTTTAGACAAAACAATCTAAGTTTGAAATATCAAAGGTTTTCACCATCAGGTTGCTAAGATATTGGTTTTCGAAAATTTGAGTTTGTGGCAAAGACTCAATTCCTTTCCACTTTTTTATTTGTTTACCGAGGAGAAGGAGTGTTCAAAAGGAGGAAAGGAAGGAACTAAGCCTAAATCCAGTTTCTACACTCAGTAATGTCAAACTAAGAATATCTAAATCGTCAGCAGATCTAAAATCTTCAGTTCAATTCCAAGTAGATTCCGAAACACCTGCAGCAACTAAAGTTCTTGTAGTCCCTGAAGGCCAACTGGACAGAAAGGCTGATCCTGGAGGAGGTCAGGAAAAGGAACCAGTTTCCGAGGAGAATCAGAACAAAAAATCGGTTCTTGCAGGGAATCAGAACAAGAAACCGGCTCCCGATGGAAACCTGCACAAGAGACAGGTTCCTGAGCAGAAGAAACCGGTTATTGACGGACACCAGAACAAGAAACCGGTTTCTGATGGACACCAGAACAAGAAACCAATTACTGAATTAAAAAGAAACTTCCACCAAAGAAAGAAACCCAGTGAAACTGTAAAACCTGTAGAGACGGATAAACCCAAGTTGTTACGACCTAAAGATACTCTCAAGAGTGGAACAGTGACAGGTAGAAAAGGAAGGTTCCGCAGTAAGCGGTCAGCAAGCCTTGATGACGAAGAACTTTTGATAGTAAAGGAGAGACCCCGCACAGTTCTTCAAAATGTGAACAAATTTGCAATTTATCTCAGGATCATAATTTAACTCTTAACTGAATGCTTAGATAGGCCAGGGGGTCAAATGCACTTCGGGGTTGCATCAAAATTATTTCGTTAAATAAATAAAACATTTTGACTTGATAAATTGAACCTTGTAATTTTAGACTTAAATTTTGTTTGTTAGACCAAAACCTACAATACTGGCGTATAAATTCTTCACCCAGATACAGAGAAGGATAGAAGAGCATGGCCTGAACCCGGAGGGAGGGGGGGATCAGGAGGGAGGAGAGCAGGAGAAGGAGGAGGAGGAGGATAGTTCAAACCAGGTAATAAAGGTTTTTATATTCACAAATCGTGTACTTTAAAGTATATTAACCGAGTGTCCCACCAAACATCCTCGAGACGACTTTATAATGAACAAATGTACGAAAAAAGGTTGCACATTAATATAAAAGCTTTTCAAGAGGTACATATGGAAAGCTTAAACGTGGTGTTACCTTTTCATTCACCATTTTGTCATTAGATAACATAAGAGCAAAAACGATTTTTAAATCTCTCTCTCTCAATTGTCATGTTAACTCATAAACCCTGTATATGCACACTCTCAACTAAGTTTTCGGCGCGTTCTGCAGTATTTTGCAGTAAACTTACCGAAAATATTGTAGGATTTAGAAGAGAGTGATATTTCTATTGTATTCTCTTTAATTGTAATTAATATCTTGATATTTTTATAAACCCTGAATTTGTGCAGATTAGCAACCCTGAATCTCAGACTGGAACTAGAAAACAGGAAACCTTGGATTTAAATTTTAATAATTACTAACTTTTCTAGAATATAAAAAATTGTAACTTTTGAAACCTAACTGATTCAATCCTGAGTAAAGGTTGAAGAAAAGAGATCAATTGAGATTAAGTACGGAGAACTTGAAACTGTCTCTTCGAACCTCTCCGCACTAGATCTAGAGCTAGGAGACTGGAGAGCAAACACAACTGGAATGGTAATACAAGAAGAGTAGATAAAAACGTGATTGTATGTAAATATAAAAATAATCGTGGTTTCTAGGTTTAGGTCAGAAGGATGGTTGGTTTAAATAAACGAGGATTTTTCATAACTTCAGTTTTCTTGTACGAACGTAAACAAACACAGAGTGCTGCACAGGCTAAGCTTTGATTATAATCCTTCCGAAAATTACAGTTCACTTAAATTGCAAAAAACGCATTTATTTAGTTTGTTTAATTGTTATTGTAAACCTGTAACAACCTTATTTAGAAATCGTCAACCTATTTCAACTGTATGAAAACCACATTTTGATAAATGGTTTTGTCCATTTAGTACTTACACATGCGGTAGTAATATATGATAATAAGAATATTTTTTATGGAAAATTACATTTTTCTATTTAAAGCTGTTCCATAACAAGTCAGATTCTTTAATTAAATCACAAATATGAGTTATACCATCCATAAAGCAGATCATAATTATATATGATCCATAGCAGATCATAATTATATGTGATCCATAGCAGATCATAATTTTATGTGATTCATAGCAGATCATAATTATATGTGATCCATAGCAGATCATAATTTTATGTGATTCATAGCAGATCATAATTATATGTGATCCATAGCAGATCATAAATATATGTGATCCATAGCAGATCATAATTGTATGTGATCCATAGAAGATCATAATTATATGTGATCCATAGCAGATCATAATTATATGTGATCAAACCATTTTTGCTAACAATTTCAAATTAGTAATTAGTACAAAATCTATTTCTAATAATACAGTCGTGGTCGTATATATCAATACAAAAAAAACTTTCTATTTCAATATTTTGATTTCTAACAATCTTTCAAATAGCAGAAACATATGAACATTTAAACAAAGAGAAGTTGTCAATTAACAGCTTCTCTTTCTTTGTTTACTTGTAAAATGCTGATTACGGTTCATAGCATTATTAATAAAAAGTCGTCTTCATTGTATTGATATAATCGCCGACCACTGTATAAGGAAAATCACTTTTAGTCGGACTACGGCCATGATGCGTCTGCCTGGGGCCGACGAATATTTGACACGGACGAAATAGATATCCCTCTCCAGGCTGAGGTTCATTCTAAACTTTTCGTCCAGAAGGAGGATATAGAGCTAGAGGATGTTCTCATAGATTTTATGACAAGGAAGCTCAGATTATTTATAAACTATAGAACTCAGATCAAGACCAGAAACTTAGATTATTCAATAACTAGACAGGTTTAGACAAGAAACTTTGAGTATTAATAAACTAGAGAACTCGGATTTAGACCAGAAACTTAGATCATTCAATAACTAAAGAATTTAGATCTATATCAAAAACTTAGATTATTCAATAACTAGAGAACTCAGATCTAGACCAGAAACTAAAATTAGATTATTCAATAACTAGAGAACTCAGAACTAGACCAGAAACATAGATTATTCATTGACTAGAAAATTCAAATCTAGACCAAAAATTCCC